ACTACTGAGGAAATTTGTATAGCAACATGAAAAATTATTTACCAAGTATTGCTTAGTGAGGGAAAAAAAAGGAGCAGGACACACAAAATCAAATCTACATAGTTATTATAACCTTGCCTCTCTCCCCCCAAAAAATCTCTATACTTATAGATAAAAGCTGGCAAGGAAATGAAAATCAGGGTGTTAGGGTAGTAGGAATAAAGGTACTTTTTCTTTTGTTTCTAATTTCCTGTAGTATTGTTTTCATAATAAATAAACATTTTCCCCCAAATATAACACATTTATTTATCCCTTCTACTTCATTCCTATTGCACCCCCATCTTCCCAATCCAGGGTTGCTCTCTTTCATGCCTGGATCACTGCCCATAATTGGTTTCTCTTTAACCCATTTAGGCTACAAATGCTGCCAAGTTACCAAAGGGCTACATTTACCATATCACTTACCCAACTGATAATCTTCAATTGCTTTCATGTTTGTGGTCTTATATAGATTTCAAGGCCTACCTATCCTTGCCCAATACTTTGCTATTTGCCTTTCTCTACTGTTACTGTTGCTGCTCTTCTCTTTCCTCTTCCTCCTTCTCCTCCTCATTATCAACTAACATTTAATGAGGATTTACGGTGCCAGGTTGTGTTCTAAATGCTTTACATATATTAATTCATTTAATCCTTACAACAATCACATGACTTTTACCCCACTTTACAAGTAAGGAAACTGGGCAGGGATAGAAGGAGAGAGTCAAGGGGCTGACTTGCCAAGTTAACACAGCTGGAGTATAGAAGAATCTAGATTTGAATTCAAGCCAACTGACTCCAAGGCCAGAATCCTTAACATGCAGGGCTTATTCCTCCAACACACCCTGTTTCGTCCTCTGGGCCTTTCTTCCCAGAGGAAAGGGTAAGTTCCAACCTACAGTTTTCTTACCCTCCAATGAACTTAAATAAGGCATAATAATACTGATCGTGTATTGGGCCCTTGCCACATGCCAGAAGTTTCTTGTTTAAATCATGTATTTAACACTTTTCAACTTATAGCAACTTGCCAGAGTAAGCAAAAGCTGGATTTAAATCTTGGTTTGTCCTTTTAGTAGCTATGAGACCTTGAGTAAATTACTTAGTTTTTCTGAACCTCAGATGCATTATCTGAGTCAATGGTCGTCAAAATGTGATCCCAGGACCAGCTGCATCAGTATTACCTGGGGAGCTTGTTAGAAACACACACGTAGAGCTCCACTGCACATTTACTGAATCATACTCTCTGGGGGTGGGATCTATGGTCTAACGAGCCTTTCACATGTTTCTAATGCACACTCAAGTTTGAGAACCATCACTCTAATTATAAAAATACCTGCCTGACAGAGTTTTGGAGAAGATAAAACATATCTGTAACTTAGCTTATGGCATGTAGGTTATTTTGCAAATGGTAATTTATTACTACTTCTACTTAACTGTGTGTGGGTTAGCCTTTCTTGGTCAAGCTGTGGGTTGGCAGGCATTATGTTTCCTGATACTCTCTAATAATTCCGTGCTTGCCTAGAAAGAGGCAGTATATACACTAGGTTTTGAATAAAATCTTCTTACTTCCCTGGCTAATTAGTAAGGGAATCATTTTTGTAGAAGCACTGTAAGGTAGTACAGCAGGTCCTTGAATAATATCACTTTGTCCAATGGTATCTTGTTAAGACACTGATGAGGAAAAAAAATAATTCCAAGCCAGAGCACTGTGTGAAGTTTTCATATTCACCCCATGACTGCATGAGTTTTCTCCAGAGACTCTGGTTTCTTCTCACATCCCAAAGATGTGCACGTGAGATGAATTGCCATATCTACATTGTCCCAGTCTGAGTGTGTGTGTGTGCCTATGGTAGAAGAGTGTCCTGTCCAGGTTGGATTCCCTCCTTGCACCTGAGCTGCCAGGAGGGGATCTGGCCATCCACGACCCTGACCTGGAATAGTGGGCTGGAAAAATTTATCTTACTTGTTTTTATTCATCTTTCTTAAATGTACATATAGCTGACATTTATTTCAATGTTTAATATTAGAAGTGTTTTGGATCTTTATTTAGAAATTCAGTGATGGTTTTGTTACCAGAAATATGCTGTAGGAACTTAACTCTTGTTTATATCAATTAGCCTACAGTAAAATTGGTTTCCTTGCATGTCATTTTGCTCACATTTGCAGTTTCCAAGAATCTATTGATAATGTTAAGTGAGGACTTACTGTGGGGTGTCTCTTAAGTTAGACTGCCTGGATCTGGTCAACTTACTAACTGTGGGACTTTAGGCAAATTAATTTATCTGTATGTGCTTCAGTTTCTTCTCCTGGACAAATGGGGAGATTAATAGTACCTATCTTTTAAGGTTATGGTGATAAATAAGTGTAAAGTGCTTTGAATGGTGCCTAGAATACAACACTCTCAAGAAATGTTAGTTAGCATTATTATTTTTCACCCATTCAGTGGTGGAGGCTCTGTTTCTTCATTTGGGAAGCAAATGACAAATATCCTTGAGCAACTGCTCTGTGCTAGGCACAGAGAGTAAGTCTCTGACCAAGATGTGGGCTCCTCTCTCAAAGGTCTCAGTCTAATGTGGGAAACTCAGCAGGCTTACTAGACTGAAACAATTTCTCCACGGACATGGTACAAGCCAGTTTATAGTAAGCAATCAAGACCAGCCATAGAATCCCATAGTATCCCCATCCAGGTTAGATTCCTGAGCCATGATGCTGAGTGATCCATTTGAAGGGTTTCCTTTAGGGATCTATATTGAAGCAATTATAATGGGAAAAGCATAAACTTTGGGGCCAGATAAATCTGGACTGAATCCTGGCTCCATCACTTATACTAGATGTGTGACCTCTGCTAAGTTATATAACCTCTCTAGACTTCATCTATAAAATAGGTAGTAAAAATGACTGTTATGGAGAATAAATGAGATTATGGGTGTAAAAAGATCCTGCCCAGTGATTGATACTTAGTAGATGATCAATAAATGTTGGATTCCTTCCTTTTTCCATTGCCAACCAGAAAACTAATAGGTTTTCCAGACATTGGAATCGAAAGAAAGCCAAAAGTATTCCTGACTACATCAGCAAATCACAGGAACAATGTAGACCTCAAGGAAGAGCCCTGGACTCTTCAAAGGTCAGGACACTCAGATTCTAGTCCTCTCCCTTGGCATCCCCTCCCTAGGTGCCCCTGCAAAGGTACAGCTAAGAGTCTTCTTCCCTATCCCTCCTTCATTCCTGGAGTTTGAATTAAAGAATCAATATAATTTAGAGGCCTCTTGTATAATTTGGCCTGAAGAAGAACTGACTGAAAAGAGTATATCAAGGACACCTCGTATCTATCAGAATGGCAATCATCAATAAATCAACAAACAACAAGTTTGTTGATTGGCGGAATGGCAATCATCAATAAATCAACAAACAACAAGTTTGTTGTTGGTGAGGATGTGGAGAAAAGGGAACCCTCATGCACTGTTGGCAGGATTGCAAATGTTACAGCCACTATGGAAAACAGTTTGGAGTTTCTTCAAAAATTAAAAATAGAACTACCTTATGACCCAGCAATTACATTTCTGAGTATCCAAAATACTAATTTGAAAATATATATGCACCCCTATGTTCACTGTAGTACTTTTTACAATAGCCAAGATATAGAAGTAACCTAAGTGCCCATCAATAGACAATTGGTTAAAGAAGACATGGTACATTTATACAATGAAATATTACTCGGCCATAAAAAAGAATGAAACCTTACCATTTGCAACAAAATGGATGGATACAGAAGGTATTATTCTAAGTGAAATAAGCCAGAGAAAGATAAATACCATGTGATTTCACTTATATGTGGAATCGAAAGAACAAAATGAATGAACAAACAAAAGGAAAACAGTCTCATAGATACAGAGAACAAACTGTTGATTTAGGAGTTGGGACAACTGGGGGGATGGGCAGTTGGGTGAAAAAGGGGAAGGGATTAAGAAGTGAAATTGGTAGTCATGAAATAGTTGGAGATGTGAAGTATAGCATAGGGAACAGAGTCAATATTATTGTAGTAACCACGTTTAGTGCCAAGTGAGTACTAGACTAATCGGGGGGATCATTCTGTAAATTATATGAATGTCTAAGCACTGTGCTGTATACCTGAAACTAATATAAAATAATATTGAATGTCAACTGTAATTGAAAAATAAAAATTAAAAAAGGAGTATATCAAGGAATTTCACAATCTCCAGCCAGGCTGATGTAGAGCAACCCAGAGAAGGTAACTGTCACTCCTTATGGTCACCTATGGTAGGTGGGCTAATCTCTGGGGAACATACTGGGTGCCACATTTCCCACATTACAGGAGCAGACTCTCCATTCTGGACATTTTTTTCCTTAAGGGCTTTGCCCAAGCAACTCTTTTCCCTCTAGCCGAAGCCATATATCCCATTTGTAAAAATGTCCCTGCCTTCTTTCAGGAATTTTAACCTATTGTTAGCATGATCTGCCCTTGGACTTTTAATGAGAGGACCTTAAGTTCTCAACAAGCCCTATAAAAAGTAAAGGTGGCAGAACCCAAGAAACGAGTACCTTCAGCAACTCCGAAGCAAAGGCACAGCAGTAGTTGGGCAGTCTTACCTCCTCTCCATCCCCTCCAACTGCCCAATCACTACTGGAAAGGCAGTTATAATTTATGACTTATTATCTATGTTTCAGCAAGGTCTGGTACCACATGTCTTTGGGCCTGGGAAGGCCTGCCTCAGGCCTCTGAGGTGATTGGCACATCATCCCACAACACTGCCTGACTACTACTTTCAAAATGTCTTAGCGATCAGTTGTGTCTGTAGCCCAGCTGCCTACGGGCAGGCTGGATGACATCTGTGGCATCAAACCCTTGGTATAGACACCAGACTAGGTTCCTCAAAGAAAATTGAGCAAACAGGAGACCTTACCAATTTTCATAGAAGCCTCACAGGTACCATCTCAACTTAACTCCCTGAATGGTCACTTACCTCTCTGACTGGCTGGTCTTCCTTTTTCCTGTTATTGGTTTCCATTTGTCCCCAGGAAATTCCTGCAAAGCAAAATTCTGATAAGTTAGGGAGCTCTGAGCAGCCAGGTATCTAGATGGCCTCAAAAATGTGAAGAGGTCAGGAACCTGCCCCTAGCCGCTCCCCTCGCCACCAGCTTGTTCTTTCTACTCTCCCATGCTGGCTACAGAAATATGTACTTGGTGGGCTGCCTTTCTGTCAGGAGGCCTGCTGAGCTGCTGGGGGGCATGCAGAGACTAAGAGAGCATTCAGTTGACCTGAACAGTGTCATCTAGAAACTCCGTGTTTCCCTTTCCTCCACTCCCCTCCCAAACCACGTTAAAAACCGGTTTAGCATGTTTGTTCTTTGCTCTTGTTTGTTCTACTTGGTTAACCTGCTCTTTCCTCTTGACTCTTCCAACATACAAAGCATCTTCTTGGAAGCCCTGGGTCATGAAGGGCCTTTGAGGCCTAAAGCTCCTGCTGTTGCAGCTCTCTTCCAGAGTGAGGCAGATGGAGATTGCGCATGCCAGCACACCGCTGTACTGCAAGGGCCCTTCCTCTTCTCAGGGGCTCAGGTGGGCTTATTTCTGGGGAACCACAGTGCTGAGTGCCATCTTCCCCACATTATAGGAATAGACTCTTCACCCTGGGCATTGTTTCCTAAAGGACTTTGTCCAAGCAACTCTTTTCCCTCTTGCCAAGGCCATGCGTGCCATTTGTAAAAATCCCTACCCCCTATTCTTGCTCCAAACCTAATGCAAATTTGCCTTTGACATTCTCTCTGATTTTGCATTCAGTACCCTCTATCTAGTGACTCAGAGCTTAGCCCAATAGGTATGCACAGTTGTCCCTAAACCTCACTGATCTTCCAAATTCCTTTTTCTCCACTTCTATTACTGGTCTCATTTAAGTTTTATTACCTTTGCCTCAATGAAAAAACTTTATTCCCTTTTGGAGGTAAAATACCTGGTGTCAGTCATACTGGCTAAGATCCTTAATGGCTGTATTATTTGAGGAAAGTTTTGTCACCTCTCTGAACCTCAGATTCCTATCTGGCAAATAACGACTATACTATCTAGCTTTGCTGAGTTACAAAATGGGATATGTATAGAGAATGCCTAGCACAGTGCTCAGCACATAGGAGGCTCTGGATGTGAGTAACCATGAAAAGGATGAGGTTATGAGATTAGGGCAGTCCCTACATGTACCTGCCATGTTAGAGCAGCTCTAACTACTTGTTAGACTTCAGACTCTGCCTTGATGCCCTGTGAGATGTCTCTGGCCTCAAAGACATATTACTTGTTCAGCCACAGTGGGAGCCAGGATTTCCTGTCCATGCCCTGTCTAGCCCTATGGGAAGTGCTCGGTAAATAGCAGTGGCCAAACCAAACAAAGTCCTGTCCCAACTCCCAACCTTATTCTCAGATCCCCAGTATCACATTACTAGTTTTTCCCCATGAGCCACTTAGGTTACTGTAAATTGTCGGCACCCTTTGAACCAAAGAGGCAGTTACCCAATGACTTATTGCTGATGGGGGTTGACTCTGATGGGAACTTGCTGCTCCAATGGAAGGTATACTTCTAGAAGACATCCTCCTATACTGGAGAGTGCCTGGGCTTTGCAATCAGCTTATGGAGAGACAACATAGCACAATTAGTATCTTGGTCCTGAAGTTAGACTACATAGATTCAAATCCTACACTTGCCCTTCACTAGCTATGTGACCTCAGGCAAACCACCCAATTTCTCCTTATCTCATTCTCCCCAGCTACTTAATCGTGTGATCATGATAATAATATTACCTATTTCTTGATTGCTTTGAGGACAGCATAAGTTGATACATGTAAAATACCTAGAACAATGCCTGGTACACAGTAGACACTCAAATGTTATAGTTGTTCAAATCCTGGCTTTGCCACTTGATAGATGTATGACCCTTCTGAACCTCAGCTACCTCAGCTATAAAATGGGATCCTATTATAACTTATCTCATACAATTGTTAAATGAAATAATCTGATAATATATGGAAAACTAACTGGCATTAAGTATTAGGGATGTAAATGTGTACTGATTTTAGTTCTCTTAACAGCACTAAACAGGAGTCAATTAGTTCTCCAACATTTTCCAGGAGCCATAAAGAGAAGGATCTCAGCCCTACTTCAGACAGCTACCATGACAACTACCTTAGTCATATGAGCTGGGGTATCCTAATCCATGCTGCAAGTTTTCCTCATGTCTGGGGATGGGGCAGGGGGGTTGTTCAGGTGGCAGGGATAAGAATAGGCATGAAGCGGCTCCTAGATGGCAATCCACATGTCTGAAAGCCTATTGTCTATACATACCTGCTTAGCTAGTTTAACAGCCATTAGGAACCCAATGTGTCCCTCCCTCAGGAGAGGCATGGTACAGGCATAGACATACCTGCATTGCTGCTGCCAGTTGATGCAACCTGCGAATTTCACCTCCTTCCATTACAAAGTTACTGGCCCTGGGCTGATATTTCTGCAGCTGTCATTTCCTTATCCTTCTGCCTCCAATCCCCAACTTCAGTCCCCTTTCTCTATTGTCTACTTGCAGGTCCTCCTTTCAGCAAACAGTTTCTCAAGCTAAGCCAATCTCTCTCCTTATTTTAAGAGATAATAACTCACTTATAAGATGATTACTATCTGGCAGTCACTGTTCTAAGTGCCTTACACATTATATCATTTAATTCTCACAACCAACTTATGAAATAGGTACTATTATTACCACCTATTTTTTCTTTTTTAATGGGAGAGCTTAAGAATTTGAACTTAGGTTGTCTGGTTCCTGCATCAATGCCCTTAATCCATGATTTTATATTTCCTCTCCTCTTTTTTTTTTCAACATTTTATTATGGATATTTTCAAGCATGCAGAAAAGTTGAACAAGTTTACAATTAACACCCAGATATTCACTACCTATATCATACAATTAATATTTTACTATATTTGCCTTATCACATATCTCTATTCACTCCTCTATCTATCCTCCAATCTATCTTAAATTCTTGATGCATTTCAAAGTAAATTACAAATGACTTTATCCCCATAAACTTGAAAACTTAAATAAAATGGACAAATCCCTTAAAAGGCTAACTACCAAAGCTCACTGAAGAAGAGATAACTGAAATGACCCTATATATAGTAAAGAAATTGAAATTGAATTTGTAGTTAAAAATCTTTCCACAAAGAAAACTTCAAGTCCAGATGGCTTCAATGATTAATTCCAAGATTTAAAGAAGAAATACCAATTCTATGCAAACTCTTCCTGAGAATGGATTAGGAAAGAATACCTCCCAGCTCATTTGGTAAGGGTAGCACCTGGATATAAAAACCACACAAGGACATGACAAGAAAACTACAGACTAAAATCCTTGATAAACACAGATACAAAAATCCATAACAAACTATGAGCAAATCAAATCTAGTAACATACAAAAAGGATAATATATCATGACAAAGTGGTCACAACAATGGTAGATTGATTCTTATTTCAAAAAAATCAATCAATGTAATTCACCATAACAATAGACTAAAAGAGAAAAAAATATGTGATCATCTCAATAGATACAGAAAAAGCATTTGAAAAAAATTAAGCATCCACTCCTGATAAAAGCTCTCATCAAACTACGAATAAAAGGAAACTTCCTCAACCTGGTAGCTAACATCAGACTTAATAGTGAAAGACTGGGAACAGAGCAACAATATCTGCTTTCAGCATTTCTATTAAATATTGTATTGGAGGTCCTAGACAGTGCAATAATGCCCTCCTCTACCTTAGAAAAAGCATACAGAGCGAGTGGAAAGAAAGATATAAAATTATTTCCATTTTCAGATGACATGATTGTCAATGTAGAAAACCTTTTAAAATCTATCAGAAAGCTACTAGAACCAATAAGTGAGTTTGGCAAGGTTGCAGGATACAAGGCCAATATATAAAATTAAATTGTATTTCCATATAATAGTAACAAAGAATTTTTAACTTGACATTAAGAAAACAATACTATTTATAATAGCATAAAGTCATAAAATCATAGGGATAAACAACAAAATATGTGCAGCATTCGTATGCTGAAAATTATAAAATAAGTTAGAACACCAACAGACTTCAAAATCTTCAGCATACATATCATTCAAGTTCCATATTTGTTTATAATATTTTAAGGCAAAATTCACTCTAGTGAAATGCACAAATATTAGGTGTATGTTCATTAAATTCTGACGAATGTATATACCTGTGTAACTCAACTCTTATCAAGATATAGAACACCATCATCACCCAACAAAGTTCTTTCATGCCCTTTCACAGTCAATCCTGTGCCACCTCCCAAAATATTGAATTATTTTTCCATAGAGTAACTGTTTTAGAACTGTGTATAAAAAGAACTGTAGAGTACGTACTCATTTGTGTAAGGCTTCTTTCACCCCTAAGATTCCTTGTTTCAATGAACATATGTTGAACAACTTCATATACCAAATTATTCAGAGTATCTGTATATGCAACAGTTTAACACAGGAACTAACTTCTGGTTTAAGTGCACCAGCCAAAAGGTAGCACTAGGGAAGCCATGGGGAAGGCATCTGGCAGTGAGCTGGTAAGGACATCGGAGAGCCTCCCAGAAATATCCTGGAGGATGGCAGTGGCTTGTGTTAGGGTGGTAAGTCATAACCAGGGTATAGCAACATCCAGTCTAAACCTGGGTCTCTGACAGAAAGAGATTGCAGAAGAGGGGGAAGGATTTGTTTTTTAGAAAACCAGAGATGTCAGGTCTCTGAAAGCAAAGCCCAGGGGACCACTTGCAAATTGTGGAGCTCCAAATAGTTTTAAAGCAGGAAATGGAAGGGAATACATGCTGTTTTGTATCAGGTACTGGGCCTGACATTCTGTATACACAATCTCATTTGATCTTCACAACTGATCCATGAGGCAGCCATTATTTTCCTCTACTTCAGAGTTGAGATAATAAGACTTTATTTAGTACTGACCATTTTGTGAAGTAAAGATTCATGTTTCCCTTTAAAAATCATATAACTGTAAATTTTGGTGGCCAAATGACTTGCTTAAGGTCACTTGGATACCAATTATACAGTTAGGCTACAAATCCCAGTTCTGTACATTTTGTAAAGCAAAATTTATTTTATTCTAACTCTAAAGATAATATAACTGCAATTTTGGTGGCTGAGTTTCCTGCCTCAGATTAATAAACTACCATCTGGTGGAGCCAGGACTATACAGTTTTAAGGAATTATAATTGTTATGCTACCAAAAGATTTGCTTCATTTTCTCCTCACAAAGAGAATAATGAAGCTCACCCATCCAAGAACCAAGTCCTCACCTGCACTGTCAGCTTCCTGGGTTTCCAAGCATTGCCAGGTGCCAAGGTGCTGTCTTCGAGGGTACTATGCTGGGGATTGTGATAGCAAGGTGAACACCGAATACATTGGTGGTGGTGGCATCGGCAATTGTAGCAGTTTGGCATCATATTTCTCTTTCTCAAAGCAGGGCAGACTTCTCCAGAACAATAAATGCAAGGGTCATGTACTGCAGCTCCCTGTACACTACAGGAGTAAGTGCAGGTCCTGTGATAATCAAAATCACCACAGTGCAGTGGCTTACAACACATGGATTGTTCTAGACCTTTGCTTGCAAAACATTCTGAGTAAGTAGGAGTTTCTGACTGAAGGAGTGACATAGAATGATATGATTGATCTGTGGCATGATATGATTCGTCCATGGGATGGCTCCTCAATTCCCTATAGCTAGAGCTAATTGGCTGGAAGCTTTGGTCTACAGGTTTTGGTCTTTGGGTAAAAGTCTTGTTACTATGAGTGATTAAACCTGGCAGATGGGATGTAGATAGAGATTTGCTACTCTCTTCAAAGAACTTTCTTCTGTCTGCAAAGGGCAAGAGGATGGCTTCATTCCCAGCTTGAGCAGTAGAAGCCTTCAATTCCTTGTTATCTCCTGGGTTAGAAGGGCTTTCCATGGCTAGTGCCACATGTGGCTGCAGGTTGTGCTCTGGAGACCACCTCCAATGTCCTCCACCACGGACTCCATGGTGAACATTTGTTTTCTCAGAGTCTGAGGAGGATGGGTCAGATGTGTTCCACCAGGTGTTTAGATCCAAAGAGGGCAGTCTAGGCCTCTGGCCAGGGCTTATTTCTCCCTCCAAGCCTGTCCTAGATTCATGGCTCTCAGGGGCTTGGCTGAGGCACTCTGAAGATGTAGCCCTAAGCATCATGCTCTTGTTGAAGAGCTTGTCTCTGGGGCTAGGTGGTTTTTTATTTGAAGGTAGAAGAGATGAGTTAGAGGCAGGAAGTAGAGGACTTTCTAGGGGCTCCTCAGTCTCTCCCACTGGCTCCTTACTGTCACATAGTTGTGATAAGGGACTCTTGCTTTTCTGGAGCTGGGCCTTCCTCCTCTGAATTTCATTACGCAGGTTGGTAGCAAAACGCTCACTCTTCCGCCGGTTTTGAATTGAGCGACCCCGGGTCCCTCCATTTCGCCTACCAGCCACCTGGCCACAGTCCTTGGGCTCATTGTCCCCTTCTTCAGTTGTCTCTGTGGTGTCAACTACTTTAGTGGTTGAAGAACAGTCCCTGGATTGTTGAACGAGCAAGCCGGAGGCAGAGGGCTGCTGGCTGGCCAGTTCACTGCCTGCTCTGCTTGCTCTGTTAGGGTCCTGGAAACCTCTTTCTGGAGGGTGTCCATCAGCTTCTCCATGGGGGGATCTGCATGGGCTCTGGTGTCCCAAACACAAAGGTCTATCATCTACTGGCCTGGTCTTTTTCTCTTTACTGGGCTGGTCCTGGGTTCCTCCTACAGGGGGACATGGACTTTTCTTCCCTGTGTAGCCGCTATGTAAAGGGGACAGAGTCCACTCATGTCTATCCTGCCCAGTTGGGAGATCCATCCCCTTGTGACCCTTAGTATCAAGGTTCACTTGCTGCAAGTGGGATGCCAGCAGCTGTTCAGGAGCACTATGACGATGGCCTGTGGGTCCTGTGAGGTGCCAAGGGCTGCTAAAAGGAGAAGCCTTAGCTAGGTCTGCTGAAGCCTTGTTGAGTGGGCTGGAATTTATGCTGGAGGCTTTGTCATATGATTTTTGGAATCCAATAGCTTTGGCTGAGGCCTCCATCAATAGATGCTCAGAACCCTGTTGGCTGGATTCAAGATGTTGGCTGAGCTCACAGTTCTGATGGCCTTCATTTCTCACTTGGTTTTGCCTGCTGAGGCAGCAAAACCTGTTAGGGTTTCTTGGGGATAGTGTATTCTCTAAGCTCTGTTTTTCTTGTTGTAAGGCATCCACAGGTTCAGAAGCCCTGCGCTTCTCTCTATTGAGGAGCTGGGATCTGGAGGCCTGAAGACTGTCTCGCCTTACTGGAGGTTGTGGTGGACCCTTGTAAGCCTTGGCAGGCCCTGAGTGGTGGACCTCCTGTGGGCAGGATAACATCTGGGAGCTAAGAGTCAGGTGGCCACCGTTGGTGCGCTGGCTACATCCTGAGGTCTCAGCCATATTAGACCTGCCATTAGGGGCTTTAGTTGACCCTGGGCCTTGCATGATACAGTCTGCAGAGGCTGGCTCCTCTGGCTTGAGGGAAAGGGCACAGTCAGAGGCATTTGAGCTGGCCGAGAAGGAGCTATAGGCTGAGTCACGCTGGTTGGGGTACATGTTCTGGTCATTGGGCAAGAGGTGACCCTCATAGGTGGCTTGGCCTGGTTGCTCCAGGCTCTCCATGCTGCCAATGGAGCTGCTTTTCTCAGTGCTGCAGTGCCGAGAGAGTGGACACCACTGCACACACACGTCACTGCAAGACACAGGACACACTGATTAGTTAGCCAGGTTACCAGATCCCTTTCCCACTGTGGCCAGCTCTGTCATGAGAGAAAGCAAGGCAATCCAGAGTCACCCATAACCACAAATTAGAGAAAGATAAGGCAAAAAAAGGAAGAAAGGGAAATAGGGA